GCTCGCTTTTAGTCCAAAAAAAGCATGGCACTGTTGGGCCCTTACTATCTTTGCAACAGCCTGGGCTATTTGATACTTTAGAAATGGTATTGTTTTTCAACAAACTTTCATGGGATGAGAGCAATATTATTGATTTAGTGCAGGCTAAAACTTTTGCTTGGATCAGAGGAAGCTCAAAATCTGTTGTTTTTGGCTTTAGTGACTGGTGTCAGTTCTCAATCCTTTGTGCAGTCCAGTCCTAATTCTTTTCCTTCCTTCTGCACTATGTTTTTCCAAATGTAATTGGTGAGTACCCCTTATACTCATTTTTTTAATAAAAATTTTGATTCATCGAAAAAAAAAAAGAAGTCCATTACAGACTTTTAAAAATATGGTAATAATAAAATTTACCAAAATAAAATATCTTATTATAACTAATTTCAGACTTTGTATACATTTTTGTGATACAACTTTTGCTTTATATTGATTATATATTCTCATAAATACCACTTATACCATGTAGCTTTACATTATCATATGTTTGGGCTATTGAACGTAAAGCTTCATATTATTCTTGTAATTTTGATTCTACTTGAATCATTCTTTTCAAATTGGCTAATTATTTCTTTGTTGATGTTTTTCAATAAATTTTAATTGAAGATCCTCATTTTTATTAACCATATCCTTTCCTATTGCATATACAAAATTTCACTTATGCTTCTATTATTTTCTTAGAGAACCATAATTTATAGACTTAATTATTGTCTATAATTTTAATATTCCTATTGTTTTTAGGTACTTGAAGCTCTTATAAGATTATTTCCTCAAGAATTTTTCAAGAGTATTTATAATTTCAACAATACTAAGATTATGCTTATACTTTCTTTTCTTTCTTAGATTTTATCCTTAAATTGTTCTAACACATTTCTAGTGTACATAAAATAAACTCATTTGATAATATTTTTTTTTAAAAATCCTAATAGAAATGTCAATACAAGTAGAAGCATTTAAAGTTTGAATATATAATTTACTTACTTTTATTATGCCAATGGATGTAACTGGTAATTAATTGCACAAAACTTTAGAATTTTGATTTATATTAACTTATTTGTGGATTTTGGATGAAGTATCTCAAGTTCTCTATTGCCTTCCCAAAATTTATTCCTCTCTAGGAACATGACTTCTTTAAATTGACAATCACCAAATTCTAATGTGAAAATATCAACAGTTAATCATTTAAAATATCTAATAATATATATAAATATAAAACCAACATAAATTCACAACCTCCTATGAAATATAAATTCTCTTGCATTATCAAATTAGATTTTCTTGAATGTATACAAAAAAAAAAAAAAAATGCTTTGAATGCAACATTACATGTTGCTTAAGAGACTAATATGCCAGCTTCATTATCAAGCATTAATTCTATAATATATCAAAATATTTTTTATGAAAACATGAAAATGTATATTTAAAATATGCTTAACCATTAAAATTTGTGAAATTATAAGTTTAAGAGTTGCATTTTTCTATAAGTAATTTTATAAATGTTTATTTTATTTATGTTGTGTAATTTTTTGGTGATTGAGGGTTTAATAACTAAATGGAGAGAATTAGAAGAAAAAGATTCAAATGCAAAGAACCAGAAAGATTAGGGTTCAAGGATCAAATTTAGAAGTTTGAAGGCTCAAGTCAGATTTTCTCCATTTTTGATTAAGGAGCAAATTGCAGAGATCAGAAACATGATGATCAACTTCCATGGAATCCAGGAGTTAGGGACCAGGACTGTTATTTTGCCATTAACCAAAATTGCACAAAAGGCCAAAAACCCGACACGGAGTTTCCCGTTAGTGCCTTACCGAAGGTGCCGGCACTTTGTTGAGGGTGTGAACCCTTTATGCGATTTTTGGCCACCCCGTCCCTGTTCTAATTATTTTGATACGGATCCCACAATTATTCCAATTAAATTTTTTAAAATCTTATAAATACTCATTTAAGTTTATAACGAAGGGGAGAGACTGTTCCTAGGCTTTGATTTTCTCATTTTTCTGTGTTAGAGAATTATGTCAAAACTTAATTAAATTTTTAATAAAATTAAGGAGGATCTTAATTAAAAAGTTTAACTTATTATTTTATTTTGATTTTTTTCATAAATTTTATTATTTAATTTTATTTTTAAAAGATTATTAATTATTTATAGATTTAAAAACCTTAAAAATTATATTCATTAAATTTCATATAAAATTAATTATACTTTTTTATGTGTAATTTATTAGAATATGATTGATTGGTAGATTTGTTTTGTGATTTGATCATTCACTGCAATATTGTCGATTAAATATATTATTTCTCTTGGATAACTTGTAAGAGTAGATTAATTTATTTTTTATTAAAATTAATTTCCATTAGAATACATAAATTAGTTATTATTATTGGTTTTCAAAGTTATATTTTTTGATTGTTTGTTTAAGATGTAAAATATTCAATTGAGTAATAAATAGAAATTAAAATTTATAACAGTTAAATAAATCAATTAAATGAACTTTAAAGTTTTGTTTATAATAATATTATTTTCAATCCTTTATAATTATCATATTTTATTTAATGCTTTTTATTCTTAATTTTAAAAATCATATTTTAATTTAATTTCTCATTGTAACAATTTTTTTTGTTAATTTAATATAACTTTCCTATAGATTCAACAATTGCTTAGTCAAAGAATATTAATTTTGGTGCGAGACATCAATTCTAAGCAAACAAGAAGTAATTTTTTATCAAATGAGTTTGAATCCAATGTAAACAGCCTTACATAATGAGAGATAATTTTTTGGTAGAGTTTCATCTAGCTGGCTTGCATTCTATACCATTCGAATCCAAAACTTTGTACTTTCCATACTCCATTGAAAGAAGAGACTTTGCTATGCTGCTGCTTAGGTAAATAACTTGAGTAAAAATTTATGAAGTAATTGATGAATGCAAATGAATTAGAAAAAGCCGCAAGAATTTAAAGGTTTAAGTGCCTTAGTGGGTTGGTGGTCCAATTGGCTTTCCACTATTGGGGCTGTTTCGTTAGAATCCCACTTTATTAACAAATTTTTTATTGAAAAAATAATTAAGAAAATATTATAAAAAAAGTTGTTAAATTTTGTAATAAAGTTTTGTTATAATTTTGTTAGGTTATTAACTTTATTTATTTAGCAAGAAATTGATATAAAAATTAATAAAGAAAGTTGTTAAGTAAACCCAACATTGAAAAAGTAATAAAAAAACGTTTTTCTTTCCAAATATGTAGAAACAAAACTTCATGAAATAAAAATTATATAAGAAAAAATAAATATTTAAAATGACACTTTTATCCTTTTTAATTATAATCTTAAAATATAAAAGGTTAACGGATAATTTTAGTCTCTTACCTTTATAGTTTTACGTATTTTTTGTCTCCCAATCTTTTTATACATTTTTTTAATTTCTCAACTTTAAAAGTTACATAATTTTGGTCTCTTCATCAATTAGATATAATGTGGTTGTTAAATAATTCCATAATAACATTTTCTTTTAATTCTTTTGATGATATGGCTTAACATATCTTGTAATTAAATTACATGGACAAATAAAAATATCATACTCAATGAATATTTATTTTTTTAATAAAAATAAATAAATAAAAAGAAGGCTCCGTTATTACTATCTTCCTCTTGATCCATCTTCTTCCCCATCTTTCAACCTTTTGCGATGGAACCAGTAGATTTGGGTTTTGTTGAACTCTGTTGCTTGGTTAAATGGAACCCAGCAAATCAAGGTTCAATTGAGCCGAGCTCATGTTTGATGAAATCCAACTACTGGGTTTCCTCAAACCCAACAAATCAAATTCAATGAAACCCAACAAGCGGGTTCAACGAAACCCAACATATCTAAGTTTTTCTTTCACTTTCCATTCTCAGTTCTTGATTTGCCTATTGTATCTATTCTTTGTAGGTTTTTTTTTCAAAATTTAAGAGTTGATTTGTTGGAATTTAATTGCATTTATGTTGGAATTTGATTAGGGTTTGATTGACATTGTTTATTACCAAGTAAATGAGGAGTTATTTTGTTTCATGAGATTTGTTGGGTTCAATAAAATCCAGCAAGTGGGTTCAATAAAACCTAGCAGCGGTGTTTGATAGAACCCAAATTTTGTTGGCTTCAACCTTAGCTGGAGCAAATAGGAAAAAAGAAGGGAAAAAGATGGATCGAGAGGGGGAGAAGGGGGTGCTAAGGTAACTTTATTGTTTTTAATTTATTTTTATTACAAATATAAATTTTCATCTAATTTGGCATTTTATTTGTCGACGTAACCTAATTATAAGACATGTCATTGCCATGTCATCAAAAGGATTAAAAGAAAGGCTGGTGTTATAATGACAATCTTTTTATACCGTCTTTTAATACAACTTTCACATATCATTAAATGAGTTTATATATTCAATATCATGAATCTTACATAAATTAAAAGAACTAATCATTTAAATGATATGTCAAGTTGTACCAAAAAATTATATAAAAAATTATTCTAAAATCATTTCTCTAAAAGAAAATGCTATTATGAAATTAGTTAACAGCCGAGTCACAGGTAATTGATACAAGGACAGAATCATGTAGCTTTTAAAGTTGAGAGACTGGAAAAGTGAATAAAAAAATTAAGGGACAAAAAATATCTAAAACTATAAAATTAAGAGGCTAAAATTAACATTTAATCTATATAAAAATATTTAAATAATTTTATAAAAAAGTTTTAAAAAGTTCAGGAGAAAAATTCCACCATCCAAACATCCCCTCAGGTCTTAAGACCTAACCCATTTGGGCCGTTTCCCACCTTCCTTCCAGTCCCCACATGGAAATTGTAAACACGAGCGACCAGCTGTAATGCTCATAAAATATCCTTGTTTTTCTCTTTTGCCATTCACTAGGTCCCATAACATCCGTATCGTACTTGGACTCTTTCTCCTCCCCTCCTTTTCTTGTCAGTCTTGTCCTTCTACCCCTGTAAAAATGTTCATTCTGAAAGCAGAAGAGGAATCTGGATATATTGAATGTCAATGGAGAAAAGAGATCTTGATTTCGCGCTGGTTCCATTAGGGATTATTATAATGGTGACCTATCACGTTTGGCTTCTCCATCGGATCATAAATCCGCCCACAAAGACTGTCATTGGAATCAATGCCATGAATCGTCGCTTCTGGGTTCAGGCAATGATGTAGGTTCTGTCGTCCCTCTTCCAATCCTTTCAATTCCCATTTTTGTTTTTTCATTCTTTCTCGATTAGATTCATAAGATATGAAAAGGGTTTGAAAATTGAACAAGGATTCATTGGGTTGAGTTTTGATGGCAGGATGTGGCTAAAAATGGAGTTCTAGCGGTTCAGACGCTAAGAAAAAACATAATGGCATCCACGGTACTGGCATCGACGGCGATCATGTTAAGCTCCTTGATTGCCGTTCTAATGTCAAGCGCCGGCACCAATGGGTGGTTCGACTTCGGGGACAGAAGCCCGCATGCCTTCTCCATCAAGTTCTTTTCCATCCTTGTCTGCTTCCCGGTGGCGTTTCTACTAAACTTGCAGTCGATGAGATACTACAGCCATGCCAGCATACTCATCAACGTGCCGTTCAAGACGATGTCGACGAACCACCACCACCACCTGGTGACGGCGGAGTATGTGGTGAGGATGGTAAACAGGGGAAGCTATATCTGGTCATTGGGCCTGAGGGCCTTCTACTTCTCTTTCCCTCTATTTTTTGGATCTTTGGGCCCATTCCCATGATTCTCTGCTGCTTTCTCCTTGTTTTCATGCTATATTTCCTTGATGTTACCTTTGAATTTGGGTGATCAGTTGGGGTTCCCGACGACGATGATGACGACGATCATAAAAATGAGGAACTTGGGGACACCGTTCCCGTTTAACCCTTATTTCAATTTTCAATAACCCAATTTCGTACCTATAAATTAGGATTAGGTTGCACATGTTTTAAGCTTAGGATGAGTTTGCTTGGAGGTTTTTTCAATATATATGTATTTTGTAAAATTTTTTAATTAACTTTTTAAAAAATTATAAAAAGTTATAATAGGTTATAATAATTTTAAGGAAACTGTCTATTCGCCTTATCTCTTAAAAATTAAAAAAAAAATTATTTCAAAATTGCATCGTTTTAATAAATTCTCATTGAAAAAAAATTAAAATATCATATTTTTAAAATATGAATTAGAGTATTTTTTGTCATTCTATATAGTATTTTATTAAAATTATATAGTTTTAGAATAATATTCATCCTAATCTTTAGAAGGTAAAATAAATAAACATTAATCTCATACTTTTATATATAAAGTTAGAAATTTATTTTACAACTTTTTTACTGTGATTTCAACAATTAACATTTAATATTTAATAAAATTATAAAATTACTCATTAAAATTCAACCTCGCTTAATTCAATTATACTATTATTTATAATATCTTATTGAAACTTAACATCTTATTTATTTAAATATTTCATTAAAAAATTAAAAACTCATTTCTTTTTTATGAGTTGTTTTTTTGATGAAATCTAAAAGAACACTCATCATAAAAAACTTAAAAAATCTAAATTATTAAGTAGTAAATTTTGTCTATTTTAGTAATTATACATCACACAATAATTTTTAAATTTTAATTAATAATTAATAAAATTTACTATATGTTATCAATAATATTTTTAAAAAATAAATAATCAAACACTAAAATAACTTTCAGTCAGCATTACAATATAACACAATCATAGCACCTCACAACAATTCCAAATGCACCCTTAGTTTGACACCACTAGCATGTAATTGCATTTGTAGGTTATTTAGTTTTTTAACATTCCAAAAATATATAAAATATATTTAATATTTATTTTTATTAATATTTTATATATTTTTAAAATAATAATAAGACATAAAAATTAAAAGATAAAGTACCAAAAAATGTTGTCAAATAAAGCCTAAGAATAAGTTGGTTTATTAATGCTCGGTTATAATTTTTGATATTGTTGAAGTTGATTAATAATATAAAAAAATATATTATTGAAAAACAAATTAATTTATTGATTGCTTTATTTGTGTTAGTTATATAAATGGAAATTTATTTACGCACAAATTTTACACATCAGACTTATATAAAATCATAACTATTTATTTCTTTATTTTTAATAGTTGAAATTTATTACAATTTTTTACATGAAAAAAATAATTATTTTAATAAATATAAATTAATCTTAACTTTTAGAAGTGAAAAAAAGAATCATTTTTTCTCTTGTGCTTTGCTTAGGGTTAGGGGGCGGTGACGATGGCTTTCTCGTTAGGGTCTTTCTCCAGTTAGGAGTTCCTCCCTCTTCCTCTTCTTCTCCAGCAAGGGTTTCTCCTCTTGCTCTCTTCCTTCATCCTCGTTGTCTGTCTTGCTTTGGAAACTTCAACCCAAAGGGACCATAAGGTAGTGGCTCCTTTCAATTGACATCGGCTGTTGATTTTTGACTGTTGTGTTTGGATACCAAAGGACTTGATCTTGCCTGTGATTGGATTTCTCCCATTCATTGAGTCGGATTTCACTTAGGCATGTCTCCTCAAATGAAATCTTGGCAAGGGTTGCATTCAGAGAAACTAGCGCACTCCAATTTTCAATATGGAAGCAAAATACTGAAGGGCATGGCTGCTGTTGGTAGTTTGGGTTTTGATTTGCACAGGAAGCATGCTACTCACTTTGGCAAAAGGGCTCTAGTTCCCTTCACAAGCTTCGCCCGCAAGGGTTTTTAGAGGAACGAGAATGATGGGCACATGATTGGAAGTATTCGGCAGAGATTAGGGAGGCTTGTGTTTGTTCAAAGACTTGGCCAAGAGGAATAGGATGTCATTGGTGAAGCTGATTATGTTTTGCATGGGGCTTTAGTTCCCTTCCACTATTTGGGCAGCAAGGGATTGAAGAGGATTGGTAAAGCGGAGACACATGCTTGTGCTGAGGGGGTTCTTACCCCTCTTCTTGTTGGGTAATTTTGTGATAGAGGTGGCAACATATAGGTTGGGGACCGTTCATTTTCAGAATTCGTCCTTTGCCCATGAAGCTAGTTAAATAGTTGAAAAAGTCAAGTAGCTTTAATGCTCATAGTGACTCTCTTTTCTACATTTGTAACCCTATTTAGCCCATACAACGATTGCATTTGCAATCTTTAGTTGCAAATGGCTCTATTTACTTAATTGTCTATATTCGTCATAGACATAGTTTAAATTTGCTTCTAATGCTGTAAGTTATACTTTTGATTTTATTTTTAGACTATATGCCTGTGATAAAGATTTTTTCTGTATTTTTTTATTATTTAATATAATTTTCTCCATTTCCTATAAAAAAAAAAAAAGAAGTGAAAAAAAGAATGCTTGGAATGTAAATATGGTGTAAAACCTGTGTAAGTAAGGTCCCTCCTCTAGTTATAAAATAATTATCTCAATTTGTGTCTTAAATATTATAAATCCATTTACACACAAATCTTACACTTCACATTTACATAAAATTTTAATTATTTATCTCTCTATTTTCAATAATTGTGATTTTTTATAATTTTTAGATGAAAAAAATAATTATATTTAGTAAATGTGAATAAATTTCAACCATTAAAAGCAAAAAAAAAAAAAAAAGTAAAGATTTTTTATAAGTATTGTGTTTAAGATTTATATATAACTGAATCTTTACTCTATATATTAATTTCAAATTTGTGTAACATTTATGAAAATTTGTATTTTTTTTGCCATAAATTTTTTTTTTTGTGAACGATTTTATTTTTTTAATATATATTTCTTTTATAAGTATCATATTATTTTCTAATAAATTTCATAGTATAACATAAAATTGTGCAATGAAAAAGGTCAACATATTCAATTAACATGTAGATAAAGTTGTACGGAGCATATGTTGAACGGAGAAATGTCGACCTATAAAGTTGTACGGAGAAATAACATTACAAGATCCCCACGACCGGATTAGCAAAAGAAGTAATTCAATTCTTCTCCTGCCTGGTAAGATATTGATATGCATGGTGATCATTCTATAAAGATGGTAAAAGCGGAACAAAATCAAACAATGCCTTGGACTATTAAGTCATAATACCTCGAGAATTATGTAAGGATACATTGCGTCTTCAACTTTCAAAATCGGCTTTCAAATGTTTCTGATCATGTATGTGTATATCTTTAAGCTCCTTGCATATGCCCGAAATGATCTTTTACTAGTCTACTTACAATTCCAACTGTCAAACAAGTTGTAATGTGTAGATAAAAGGTATATCCGTATATGTGCAACACATTGTCCTCATTCGTGATAGTGCACAAAAGAATCTGGAAGTCATTCAAACATGCTACATTTCATCATTCCTATAAATTATCTGCTTTTAGAACATAGGAGGGATTGCTGAAGTATTTAGGAATGTCTTCGATAATAAAATGGTTAGATAATGTGTCTGAGAAAAAAAAGAAAGGCTGGATAATCTAACTTTCTTTAGGTTATTGTTTTTTTTTTTTTACTAACCTTTCGGAATTCAGAGACCACATTAAGTCATGACTAATTCGGAATCAAGTTGGATCAAACCCCATATGGGAGGAAGTTCTCCCAACACCAATTTTTTCATTCATAAAACTCAAATTTGAGATTTTGCTTAAAGGAAACCGAATTCTTTCCACTAAAACCAACAAGTTGTTGGTTCATATTATTGTTATAAATAAGCAAAAATGGATTCACTCCTTACTTTTGCCCTAAGAAAGGTCATATTCCTCAAAGCATGAAAATGATGTTTACTTTTTCTCTTTGCTACCATGCACAAAAGTCTAATTATAGGCTAATGACTTGAACTACAGAAGGATAGCATCAACTGAAAATATCAAGCGGTTAATATGCTTTCGTGCATGGATGCAATCTTATCTTAGCATTCATGTCTCAACTTCATTTAATTTTAACTTCAGCTTCATGTTGCCAGCTTGAACTACTATTTGTTCTCTAGATGGTTCTACTCTTAAGACAGTTGCTTTCCTTCTGAGTGAAGAAACATGCACCACATCACCAACCTTCGGAAGCTCAGTTTTCTTTTCTGCATCACGAAAGCAGAGGGAATATTACTAAATAACGTTCAATAACCTTTTCATTGGTGTAAAACTTAAGAGAGTAATATTCAGGCACTAGAAGGCATCGCGAAAATTTCTGACTTGGCATGACAAGACGAAGATTACATCAGCTTTTGAATAATATACCTGATTGCAACTGTTTGACGACTTGAACAGAGGATGAACTCCTACTTGTCGCAGAATTTTTAGTTTTAACTACCTTTTCATCCTTGCTTTTACTTGTAACACTGAGCTGGCTTGCTCTAACTGGCTGAGACTGTTGTCTTGCAGTTGCACGAAACTGCTGGACCTTTCTGTGAATGCTAGAACGTGCTATTGCAGCAGCATCTGATAATTCTTGCACCTTCCTATATCTTAGAGTGGCACCATGCTCCATAAGCTTCCTTCTGGTAAGCAATAGATTTTCATGGGAACTCCCTGACAGCCTACAATTAAAAGCAGAAACCAGAAATTGGATGGAGAATCAGGAAATTTGCTTATTCATGTATGCTTTACTCAAAACAAGGATCTTATAGCAATTATCCACTACTTTAACAAAGGAAAATTTACATGACTGGATTCCATACTACCAAGAGCATTACAATCCCCTTCAGTCAAAGGGTGTAATTGGAAAATATGTGAATGCTCATTAGAAAATTACCAAACAAAAGGACCGGATTCAAACAGAGAGTAACCACTGTAAATACAAAGCTTCACAGAATAAAGGAATGACAGAAAACATTATCCCAAAATCCTTCCAGGCCATGAGCACAAAATTTTAGCATCTAGTAATTACATTGATAATAGTTGATTAGCAATTTTGATTAGCAAAAGATACTTACATAAGATAGCGTCGTGCCTCAGCCATAAGCTCTTGAAAATTTTGCTTGAATCTTTCCATATCAATTATCATCTGCATTAACACATGAACGAAATATTACTGGGAAAACCATTGCTAAAGAACATGGTCAAGTCTTAACAAAGGTATAAATCAAGTCCTTGCTCAGAATTATCTTCTAACCATTCCTTAAGACAAAGTGTTCACATAATTATAAAGGAAAGTGCTGGAAATTTTCTTTAAAGCAAGCAGAGATATAATAATTGTTCAACAACAACCCAGGAGACAAGCTCCGAGGTTCAGATTTCCACTCTCTCGCTTGGTCTCAGAAATACAACAAAAAAATTAGAATTTCTCAGTCTATGAGCAGGTGCTAGCATAAATCACAACTTAATCAGCGACAAACATACTCAAGTTAACTGGCAACTATTACCTCATCAATCTCTGCACTAGCAGTACCATATATTTCACGAGCATTATCGACAACTGTGCTGGGTACTCCCAATCTTTCAGCTATATTTATTGCATTTGAACGACCTAAGGAGAATTTATACTGCGTAAGTCACATCAAAATTGATCATAACGATATAAAACAATTTCTCAAGCACAATTAACAATAAGTAGTTTTGTAGTTAGAGAACTTGGCTTCAAAAACTCTCTGGCTCAAGAAGAAAACTAGCAAAGTCTTCAAGGTTGGGAGCCTGCAGCTAGGAAGATGCAATTATTATGCATCGAAATCTTATAGAATCATATTAAAATATTTGTTGATATCCTCACTCTCTGCCTCTCCTGCTTCCTTTGAAAGTTATTGTTTTTATGGTTGTAAAATAATTGCACTTACCTTATTGGGAATCACAATTAGTTTTGGATATTTTAATAGATGACAGTACTAACAAAAGGCATGACTAGAAGATTAGATTTTTATACCCAAACTTCTTACTAGGTAACTAATTTGTACAGGTTTCCAACTTATAATGTTGCACTGACCGGAGATGATTTATGCCTAGAATTGTTGTTGAAGATTTCTTTATTCTCCAACTAGTTCTCTATCTCCTTAAACACCAAGATGACTGCATAAGCAGGGAAAACTTAGAAACTGTTGAATAAAACATAAAAGATGTCAGGTCTTGCTATGTTGTAATTGCAGGGCAGAAAATAAGAACATTCTTGCATGCACAAACAGATGTAGAATAACTATTACTAGTCATGTATGCAAGAGAAAACCTGGTATTCCCCAGAGAATCTTGTAAGTTGGCTTCAACTTCTCTTCGTCAAACTCCATACAAGCATTTTCAAAGGCTTCATTACTGTCAAAAAAGTAATTTTGATAATAAGCCAAGCAGGAACAATTTTTTTTATGAATGCCAAAGCCAGATGATGATTGAAACCTGCCTTCCATTCATTTAAGGTTTTAGGTTGAAATAAAGCATTTACAATGATCATCATCTTGATATGATTGAATTCCTTCCTAAACAGACAGATGCTAACACACTGAAGTTAGCTGCCAGTCCAAGCATTATGCCATATGTTAAGCTGTCAGATTAAGATACCTATATTTCAGAGCTTTAAGTTCACCGTGATGTGTAGTAGCTATTGTCAACAATGAACCACTTTCAGCAAAAGATTCCAGAATTGACATCCCCAGTGCTGCTCCTTCAAGAGGATTTGTTCCTGCACCAACCTAATACAAAAGCGCATGATAATCTCTTCCTCTTGATACATCTCAATAGTAACTTAAGGTTAACCTCTGAAAATGCAGAGGGTAATGAATGTCAAAAATACCGAATAAAATTTTCTTACTTCATCTAGTAGCACCAGTGACTGACCCGTGGACTGTGATCTGATGTCCTGCAAGACATTAATCAAATTTGAAATTACATTGAAAAATTATAAATTAAAGTACCAGAGTATAATTTTCTATCTTTAGCTGCAGAAAATGTAGACTTGAAAAAAGAGAAAAGCTGTCATCCAGAGAAGTATTATACTGAAATATAGTAAATAATCAATATCACTTTGTGTTTGAGGACACCATATTATTTTTACTGAAATGATTGTACAAACTGACATAATTCTCTGCTAATCGCAAGGTCACTAGCACATGGTTATAAAATAGCCTTGGGGGTGAAAAAACATGCTAATCAATCTCCAAGAACCATAGAAGCACATTATATTTCATCCAGTTCCACATATGAGCAGTTCAGATAACTACGTGACAAGAAAATAAGCTACTTAAAAGTCAACTGTTAATAGATAATAACAGCTTGCTTGATACTTTAGTCCAAAAATCTTGGATTAAAAGAACCATAGATATCTTAAATGATATATTGGCTACTAAGATATCAAGCTTATTAATGACAGAGAATCAGTTAAAAAGTAGCATAAAGGTCAGAGAAATGATGAAGATTTGCACTGTAAAAGAACCATAAATTTGAACTCTACAAGCAGTTAGTTCTGCTTTATCTTACGAGTTAATAAATCAAACAAGCTGGAAAAGATTGTGAAAAAGGAAACAGCATCCTTACACTTATTTGTTTCAAGTGGCCAGAGAAGGTAGACAATGACTGGGACAGAGACTGATCATCACCAATATCAGCAAATATAGAATCAAACCAAGGAATTTGTGCAGACTCTGAAGATAAAACATGAAGACCTGCCATGTTGAAGGAAAAAATTATGATATGTTACAGCATAAAAACATGTGAAATAAAGTAATTAGATATCCTATCTTTTATTTCATAATTATAGAATATGAATGTACTTAGACAGCCAATGCCTACCTAAAATTGTGGTTTTTAATAGTACATAACCAAGTTTAAATACATTTTAAAAGTCAAGAATGTTAGATGAAAAGGTTAACACCTAAATGACTACAGCAAATGAGGACTTTTGCATAGATTTAACAGTTCATTGATATTCCATGGACATAAGGAATGTTCACCTGATTTTGCCATCATAGAAGCCAATCCCACTGTCTTCAAGCATATAGTTTTGCCCCCAGTATTAGGGCCAGTTATGACCAGAACCCTTGTCTTCTGTGCAATAAAAAAATCAACTGGCACAGGAGAAGCATGTTCCAGTGCACTAACCTGTCAATTCAGAGGAAAAGAAATTTCAAGAAATCCAACCTTAATATGATCATAAGAAAAATAATAATCTGTAAAAAAATTAAGGTCAATTTATGATAAAATGACTGGTAATATTATATTGTCACCTGCAGTTGTGAGGATGAAAGATCTGGTTCCTTTCCTCCTTTGATGGCGACATTCTCTACTTGTATTTTTTTCTCAACAATTTCCTATGGAAAAACACAATAAGAAAGAGAAGGAATAGCTAAGGTGCAGGCAAAATTCAGTGACAGCTGGCGATTACTGTATATTCTAACTGCCAAGCATTGTAGATAACAGCAGATGTTCACACACTAGGTACACACAAAAGAAAAAGGGAAAAAAATGAAAAAGAACATAGTTAAGTTACTTGAGTAAAATTTTATGAAAAAAGAGAACCCCATATGATAAGACCAAACAAAAATTCAGGATAGCAGCCAGCAAAGGTTTAGTTCAATCTAACTTACTGCAGTGGCATTTCTAAGACCCTGCCCAACATTCTGCATCTTTTTCCTGTGCTGCTGGAGTAATAATGGATGATAAGCATTAGGCAGATAAAAGATCCATTCTCTTTTGGGGTATGATGCATTTAAAGTTTTTTTCCTCGATCCATGGGATTCAGCCATTAGAGATCCCTCTTTTTCATCAGGTAAGAATATTCTGGGACATGTTCCTCCGAATGAAAGACTATAAGTAGCTCGAGCATTGATCTAAATGAAAAAAACAAGAAACAGAACAACTGTAGATTAATTAAAGAGTGATAATAAATTATTTAACATCAAAGAGGCAAGAGCATTGATTAGACAATCTGATTAAACCATATGAAAGAACCGTAGAATAAAAATGCAGAATTACATGGAGATGACCTTGCTATGGGAATTAAGAACCTTGCCCCAGTGCTGGCATGCATACTCATAATATTTTCAGGAATTTTTCTTTCAAGGAAACAAATTGCAGAATCAGCTAAATTTAGAATGTATAAATGCTTCAAAAGCCTCTAAAGATCTGATGAGGAAAATTTTCTTATCTTTCTTCTAAATACCCTTTCCATCACCATTTCTCAAAAAACTCAAAAATGAGATAAAAATAAGGGGAAAGTGCCATGATATCAGATACCTACCACATCCAATTGAGTTAGACTGATAAAAATCTTCTCAATGTCATCAAGATCCATTTGTACCTGCGTAGATTATAGCAAGATGAAAACATGATGAGGCAAAGGATCTATAAGAAAACTACTTTAAGAAGACAAATCCACCAACCTTTTCTGTTAACATCAAAAGCACATCTGCTTCAACCTTTGCTACTAATGCTCTTGCTTGCTGCAATTCATCATTTAAAGGAACAGCTATGAGTGGCTCTGCAATGCTTCCAATTCCTGAACCACTACACCAATTTATTACCTTTTAGGAATGGGATATTGAAGATTGGATCTACAGCTCATGGGTGAAAAGAAATATCAACAGAAATATCAGGTTTCCATTTTCTTTAGCTCACAAAATGAAGTGGTACTTTCAAATTTACTTCTAGCATGCACCTAAATAGTTTGCAAAAATCAGTAAATTCTTTAACTTTAAAATCTTGCACCAACAAAAGCTATACAACTTGAACCCATATCTTGGTAAGATGATTTTTCCTGGGAGCACCATAAAATGAAGAGGTACCTTCAAATTTACTTTTAGCTTGCATCCAAATAACTTGAAAAAATCAGTAAATTTGTTAACTTTTGCGCTAGCAAGAATGATACAACTTGAACCCATATCTTGGTAAGATGATCTTTCCTGGGTCTTATCCGCCTGCCTTCTTATGTAAATCATTTATTTGTCCAACTTACTGAATGACCTGTTGTCTAAACAGATTTCTAACCTTTGCAATGAAAAGGAGTCTAGTTGATGATAACTTGACTGACATACTTAAAATCTTGTTATTGAATTAGTCAGTAAAAAAGGAAATTTTTATCCAATAATGTGAGTTCTGCTCTTTCTGTGCCTTGATGATATATATTTTTCTTGGTACCATCTTGTTACGCAGCAGGGAGTGTTTTATTACCTCAAGGTGGAGTGGCTCAAGTTTTCACACAACAGAGATAGACAAATGAACACACACAAATAGCATGAGAAGTGGGTAGACAGACAAGCAGACATATAAATCCAGAGCACTTGTTGAAAACAAACAGAAGGGTTTATTTACATAGAAATTGATGAAATGATTAAGCAATGATTTTTGTCCACCTGGACATTAGAAGACCCTTGAAACTTGTCTGCCGATCAGCCCCTGATCTTATACACCACCTACCATCAACATTACTCACTTCCTGAATCCAACAATAGAATTATTAGAAGAAGAACATGAGGATTGAAAGGTGAATGTTGTTGTGGTCAAATCAATCTTACCAGAAGGGCTGCATCATCTGCTTCATTCCTTATAAGACTCTCCATTAATTGATATAACTAAACAGACAAGAACAAGACAGTTAAAATGACTAAGTAACAGAGGAAAATGCAGGCAGTAACAATACTTGTGGCCACTATATGCCGTCTTAACCTCCAATGAAAACGTATACTGACAACGCAATGAATTAGCATAAATATGTTTATAGAATTAAAATGAAATTTACAAAGGCTAACATATGTATCCAAGGCAGAAATGCAGTTATTTAATACCTGTTAAGCATTTAAGTTAAAAATAGGAGATAGATACACTCACTAATGAACATGATGGTGAACAAGATGACAAACCTAAACTAGAAGTATATTTAACCCTCGGGTGGTTCTTCATACCTAGCACATGTTCATCTGTTTTACTTATCTAGAAAGGATACTAAGCACTACAATTGCTCTTACCCAATTAAAGTGGCAAAGAGACAATGCAGCCTCAGATGAGAACTTGAAAAATAGAAATGATATGTGAAGATTCGGAGCATAATCCAACATTCATTAGAGCAGCCATGACAGATATTCAAGATGATGAACCACGATCTTATCATACATGAAACCGTGAAAGCATTTGATCTCTCTTTCCTATCTATGCAAATGACTGATTTGAAAAGAGAAAACTAGTAACAACAGTTAAAGAAAGGACAGAAATTATATGGGTTGAAGAAGTTAGGAGAAACTTATATGCCTAGTGGGATATAATCATAAATTTAAAGGAAAAATGGTGAAATAAATCATGTAGCCTATCCCAGCCCAGCTGGGAAGATTCAGACTTATACTTGCCATTTAATTTGGTGAGAAAGGTGTTTAGCCGTACTTTTTTCTTTCTTTTTCTTCTCCCTTAATACGGAGTTTGACAGAAAAATGCTTGTTATCAACAACATGCCGCCTTATTAAAACAAAGAATTAATTAATTAACCTTGCTAAATAATGCTACAGATATGTCTCGAATAATGGCAGGCATTATGGATTATGAAAGGGAAAAGAGACTGCACCTTTCTTTCAAGTATCTGGACTTGATTTCTTGCTTTCTTTAGGGCAGGACTCTGAAGCAGAACAGGGGAATACGTGAGTAATAATTTTCAAAAAGGAAAACAGTTTTAAGTGTCAGAGGCAGAATAAAAATATATGAAATTCATGTCTTATAGGTTGGAATGTATATTAAAAATGCAATCTACGTATTGAAATTACTAAATTAATATCAAGGAAATAACATAAAAAGTAATTTTTTAAAAAATATTTTAATAAATTTATAAGTTGATATGCACTTTTAATATGCAGTTTAATAAAAAATATATATTAGACAAGAACAGGGCAATACGAGAGTAATCATTTTCAAAAAGGAAAACAGTATTAACTGATTGAAAAGACCACAAAGCCAGTAACTTTTCTTTACTTCACATTTTTCCTAATAAGTGAAGTTTCACCATAACACATTGAAGTCTGAAAAGTTGCTCTTTTTTTAAAATATATATATATTATATTTAAATGTTGTTTTGCTGCAATATAAGTGAAAATTCGAGAGTGATCAACCTTCATAGAGCCTTGAAAGTAGAGACAGATTAAGGATATAAGGAACAAACCGCAGAGTCCTTAACAGAGCCATCTTCACCTATAACTTGCTGTATCAACTTCACCAATACTCGGTTTACAACCAATTGCATAATCTGCAAGTAAAATCAGCAATAATTAAAGCTGAAGGAGTAAATATATACAATGATTAGAGATAATGCCTGCTCGAGTGTTGGAAAGCTTCACATACGGATCCACTAAGAGGCATGAACCGCTTATACCAGTCTGCATCTTCCCTAATTGCAGCTTTGAGATTGAGCTGTAAGCCTTCAACAAACTGTAATAGAGATAGAATGGCCATTGCCTCATTTGATTCCATGTGTAAACCCCTCTGTGCACGTTTGATACCAGACTCAACCTTCAGAGACAATAAAACAAACACTTGGAGGGCAAGGCAAAGAAACAACAAAAGAAACAATGAAAAATGAAAGAAAATAAAAGATAGAGAAAACGCGGAGTACTAGAGCAAGGTCGACGGCGGTCAAGTCCAAGTTGAAGGAGCCATGGTTGTGCATTAGGATTGCGGCATTGGTTTCGTCTAAGAGCCTCAAACTGTCTTCGAAGGTCTGATCGAGAGACCACAACTGAGCCTGTAATGCAATCAAGCAAAAAACAGAATAATCGGTTTCTATGTTTCTTTCTTTCTTCTTCTCTAATACATAGAGAGAGAAGCTGAGGCGGACCTTGGTCGCTTGACGGCCGACGGAGGTTCGAGCGAAGGAGGCGACGGAATCGCAGAGCTTGTCCCATTCGAGAATTCTAAGACTATCGTACTTAACCGATCTCGATTGATGCTCATCCACCGTGGATGACGCTCTGAAGCTAAGGTTCCCCTTCCGGACAATTCGGATTGGGAAAGGTCCGGAAACGGAAATAGAAACGTGAGCAGGCATGCTCCGATGATGCCTCCTACTGGGTTTTTGATAGAGAATTTCAACGGCGCCACAACCTCATCGTTCATCAAGATTGATATCCATTATCCAATTATCCACTTTACTGAATTTTTGATATGAATTATTACCATATTAGCACCAGCCATAGGGTTGATTATGAAATTCAGAATAAAGATGTCTTTTTCCCCTTTTTCCTTTTTTTTTTTTTTTTTGTTAAATGTTAATTTTGATCCCTCAACTTTATAAAGTTATTTTTTTGGT